ATGTCATCACCGTCATAACCTAACTCAAGTCGCCGGGGGTTCTTTGATATAATTATATCAAAGAACCCCCGGCGACTCTTTTAAATCATTTTTATTGAACAATAATATATTATTTCAAAAGATAATTTTTCTAAATCATTTTTATTGAAGATAATATATTATTTCTTTAAGATAATTTTTTAATCATTCCATAAGAATAATGATTTATTAATCCTTTAAGATGATTTTTTTAAATTGTTCTTATTAAGCAATAATATATAATCCTAAAGTACATAATCATATAATAAGAACTTAACGAATAATAATATATTGTTTCTTTAAAATAATTCTTTTATCATTTTATTTAGAATGATTTATATTACTGTATTCTTTTAAGCTGATTTTTTCAATAAATATTATTTGAGTCATGATTTATGCAAATCAGTCATAAATATGATAGCTAATTTTTGATTATTTTCTGAATTTAGTTTGAATTGTCTATAAATGACAAATGGATTTTTTTGATTTCAATTAGTATTGACAAACCATATAAAGATAACTTCTGTAAAGAATAACATATCTGAATAGTAAATAGCAATGCTAGAGAAATTATTGCAGAAAACCTTTATTATGCTAGATTTAATAATATATGCTTGTGAATAAATGCTTTTAGGAAGCATTTACAATGAAATTGTCATAGAATCTTTTGAAACTTGTATGAATTAAATGATTTGAAAATTAGTAATCATATAGTAATAATTCTAATGATGAAAATAGTAGTGTTAGTAAAGATGGTGGTAATAGTGAAGGTGGTAGTAATGAAGGTGATGATGACGTTAGTAGTGATGATAAGTAATTTGTTTCAATTATATTAAAAATTTTGCGTGATATATTACAATAGTGATGCAAGCAATAATTGATACAATTTATTAATAATATTCAACGTGTTGCTTATTTCTATTTCATAATTCGCTGGCCACTCCTAAAAATTTAATTTTTAATGTTTGAATTAAGACATTTCATACATTGTAATTATACAAATGATTATAATATCATTTATTGCGAAACAATTTATATTTAAATTTCATTATTTTACACGATTAAATAAAATATCAACATATTTTCATAGAAAAATGATTAGCCAGAAATTCTCATCGAAACTAAATATTTATGCATAAGTAAGGTTTCAGATGTGTTGATAATATGATATTATAACAAAATTTGAAGTATGAATGTTTGGATTCAGACATTGAAAATTAAATTTTAGAGGGTGGTCAGTGAGTTATTTTCGGGTGCTTATTTTCGGATGAATACGGTATTTATGCGTGAAAAAATTCCTGATACATACATATACTTATTTATTATCTTTTGTCAAATGGGATTTTCAACAACACGAAATCTGTTTAATATAAAATTATTTCACGGGCATGCGTAAATGACGATCTTATGCAGCAAAAATCATAAAGAAAACGATTAAAAAGACATTCACTAAAAATTATATCACTTTCATCCATCGTTAACCTGTTAATTTCGGCCGAAATTAATTATTGACAACATTAAACCATTCAATAATAATGTAGTCAACAAAATCAATAAATCGTAATAATTTCTCTCGATTTTTCGCAATGATGTAACTTTGATCAAATAATATTAATTTTGATGATCATATTGACATCATGTATAAATTTCTATTTCGCTACTTCGTAAATAAAAAATTAATATAAAAAAGCGATCCTCTTGACTTTATCAGTTATTTTTCACAAATTTTTGAAAAATGTCTACTACTGCAATTCCTGCTACGGTTATTACTGAACCTGCGAGAAATTTAAATGATACAATGATTGCCGTTGAATGGCATGGCAATACTGACGTACGCGTCAATTCAAAACGTAAAAGACCCGAACTCACTGTGAGTAGAGTTAATACTTGGAAAAGATCACACAATTGTCTGAGATTGATTGACACATTACATAACCGTACCGTTTATTAGCAACCAACCGATGCCATTGTTCGTATAACTGGAACCACTATATGTGGATCCGATTTGCATTTATATCATAATGAAATCCCTGGGATGGAGAGAGCCGATGTCTTGGGTCATGAAGGAGTGGGCGTAGTTGTTGAAGTATGTAATTGGCTTTCCTTTTCTATTCTCAAATATGATAATTTTTTGACACATTTATTTGATGATCAGGTTGGTGAAAAGGTTGCAAATGTTAAACCTAATAACCGCGTAGTCATTTCCGCAGTAATTGCATGTGGGCAATGTGAATATTGTCAAAAGAAAATGTTTAGCTGTTGCGACGTCACCAATCCAAGTAAAGAAATGGAAGAATTATACGGTAATTAACAAAAAGTCTTTCCTTATAGTTTTGTCAATGAGCTAACAATTGTAATGGATTTGCAGGTCATCGCACCGCTGGTTTATTTGGATATTCCCATTTGACTGGAGGATATGATGGTAACGAAACTTTATAATCGGGCAGAGTATTTTTAAATTTATATTATGATAATCATGACGTCATCGTGTTGAATTTATAGGATTACAAGCTGAATACGTTCGGGTACCTTATGCTGATGTCAATCTTCTTCCAGTTTCGGAAGAAGATTATCATGCTTTAGGGGTAAAAAATTTACAACACTTAAAATTATTTTTATAAATAAAATGAAATTTTAAACGATTGTTTGGTATTTGATAGGAGAAGTTAGTCTTATTATCGGATGTTGCTTGTACTGGTTGGCATGCTAACGAGTTAGGCGAAGTGTCTAAAGGTATTGAAAATAATAAAGAACCATCCAATTTTACCTCACGTTTTTTTTATATTTCGGATAATTAATTATAACCCTTTATTTTTCCATTTAGGTGATATTGTTGGAATTTGGGGTAAGGAAAAAAGCGTAAAACTACTATTTGGCGAATAAATTTACTATTGTTCCTAATCAATCTTCCATTTTAAAATAGGATGCGGACCAATTGGTTTAAGCGCAATCGCATGGGCGAAATATCGTGGCGCGTCACGTATAATCGGTATCTTGACATGAATTATTTAAAAATTTCATTCTCGAAAAGATGATTTATTTTTGATAATTTTTCGTTTTTATAGGCATCGACTGTATTACGGAACGTTTATGTAAGGCACATGATCTTGGAGCCGAAACAATTAATTTCAAAGAGCATAAAGATATAGTAGCGAAAATTAAAGTATTTGTTCCTGGTGGACTGGACGTGGCAATTGAGTGTGCGGGATTTCGTTATACCAAAACTATTAAACAGCAGGTGGAAAAAACACTCTTTTCTGAGACCGATAATATTGACGCGTTAAGTGAAGCAATCCGTTGCGTTAAAAAAGGTATGCTTCGAGCGGTGAAATTACACGAAAAGATAAATATTGGCTAACTTTTTCATTATGTTGTTGTAGGTGGAAATGTCTCCATTATTGGAGATTTTGTTGGTACAGCTGCCCATTTTCCAATTGGTGCAGTTATGGTAAGAAAGATTCTTGAATGATTTGCGGCAATTAATTTCAATGATAATGGTGTTTATTTGTAATTTATGTTTAGGAAAAATCACTCACTTTGCGTGGCGGTCAAGTTCAAGTGCAAAAATATTGGGCTGAACTTTTATCACTCATGAAATCTAATAAAGTGAACATGAATTTCTTTACTCATCACGGGAAATTGGCAGATGCAGATAAATTTTATAAAATCTTTGATAAGAAAGAAAATGGGATAGTTAAAGTCTTCTTAAGTGTTGGCGATCAGGGTGAAAGACAACCAGAAAAGTATTGATCTTGTTTTTATGAAGTTTTCAAAGCATTTATATGTACTAGCTTACATTTTCGTAAATTTTCTCAGGGAATTTTATTAATTCTATATTTGTTATACATAAAAAGTTTTCTAAATGATTGTATGAATTTTTTTAAACAAAATAATTGTAATAAGATACATTTTTTTGCACAATAAAATCATGAAATTTTTTCAATTTGACCATTGTAAATGTATCTATAAACCAATCAATACCTAAATTTTCTTCAATAGCATCGGCCGATATGACTATAAAATATATTCTGTATTATCATTATAAGTTTGAATTTTTTGTTAAATCTAAGCAACTTTGCATTTTACGCCAATTTTATCAGATACTATTCACAAAAAATTTTTTTGAATTATTTAATAATAGTATTTTCGGTCTTTACGCTAAGAATTTTAATGTGATTATTACGAAAATTTATCGTAGTTTCATCACATTGCGTATCATTTTTTTTTTTTTTAGCTAATGAAAGAATTAAAAGATAAACCAGTTAGATAAAATTATATATTTTTCTTTTTTGCGGAAGATACCGTTGTTGATTTTTGCTTATTAATACAGTTGCCAATAATTGCTTATCGTAATTTTAATATCATTATCAATGAAAAATCATGATTCAAAAATCAATCAAAATCATACTAATAAACTCTCTTATGACGGATAATTCATCCACAAAGTTCATTAAGTTAAAAAACCACTATCAAAACATCGATTGGGTTATTAGATATTAATTCGAGAATGTTAATTCAATTTAATTCATGTAACCAAATAAAATGGTTTTGTTTTAATTGATAAAGATGCATTATTATTGCCTAATCCGACCTACTTATTAAACGATTTTTAGCACGTGAACATTGTAAAATCCAAATTTTGTAGTCCCTATTAATCACCGTTAAATCAGAATATTCATTTACATTAAAAAGCATAAATAGATATACAATAACTTGAAGAAAATGAATATAGAATGCTTTTATTGAAGTCACTTAAGAAAAAATATTTCTTATAGAGAATTGGTTATCAAACTTACTTTATACTTGTTATTTTTTCTTTTTAAGAAAAATCGAACTATTTTATAAAAAAGGTAATGATAGAAGAATTCAGAATTGCGAAAGTAAGTAGATATATATATATTATTTATATTATTTAATATGTTGATCGCGAAAATAATAATGTAATTATTATATCTACCACCCCAACGTTTCATGTATGTGAACAATACTATTTCTTAAAACAAACATTCAAAAAATAAAAATTATTTAAATTCTCTTCCCATTGATTGTCTTCATTCCTTCTCAAAAAAATAAATCAAACTCAATTTAATCCAAGAATACATTATACCAATAGCACAATATACGGATGTTATTAATAAAGGTAAAAATGGATACTGATCATTATAGATGATATAATGTGCGATTCCTGTGAAAAATTGTAATACGATAAACCCATACATATATATGTTTTCCGCTAAATCTATAAAAGATGACGATATAATGGACCTATCTTTTCGTGGGTATGCTATACCAGACTTATTATTTACATTTCCCATGAAGGTTAAAATAAACCATAGTAAACAAATCACAATTTTGATGGTAGATTCTAAAAAAAAAAAAAAATGATAAAAGAAAAATAATTACATTAAACAAATTAGAAAAATATCCAAACGAAACATACCTGTCAATTTAAATAAAAGTGGAAATAAAGAAAATATTCCGGATACTGCAAGTATCATATAAGAACGTAAAAGTTTGATATCATCCGTATAAATCAAGCTAATAAATTTGTAAAATTTTTTATAAATTTTAAAAATAAATTAAAAAATCAATCAGCCGTTGAATTTATTTTACCTGAAGGGAATCATAACCAACAAGATAGCTTTCTCATGAACATGCCATCCAAATAGAAAAGAAGAATAACCATTCAAAATTAATGATCCAAGAAAATTCTTATAATTCGGATATTTCCACAATTTCATAAGAGATGCCTACGAAAAAAAAAAAAAATAATATATTACATTGTAATTCAATTTATAAAGCTTTAAGGGAATTTATGATACTTTACCGTCTGGAATCCCAAGGTAAGAATGAATGTGTGATTCGCTTGAACTTGTGGCAAAAACGCGAAATTAACATCTCCAACCAATCCTCTTGTAATCGAACCAATTGCCGATACATTTAACGTCCATCCGAATCGTTTTGCAACTAAATATGTACTGGAGTTCAAATCTTTATTCATTAAGTATGAAATCAGAAATTATTATATATTTATTTACCAACTATCAATACTCGATCCACCGCAGCATAAAAAGCCCAAAAATTCGGCGCCCAATATGCATGACATAATCCTCTTTTAAAAGGAAATAATCGAGCAAGGACTTGTCCCAATTGTCCCATCATAATGAAGGGTCCAAATGAAAGTAAAAATATTGAAATGACCGAAAATCCAAGGATAAAAAAATTTCTAAACGAAAATCTTTTTGTTCCTAAGTATTAAAAAATTGTTTTTCAATTGAATTATTTATAGTTTTTTTTTGTGGTTGTTGTTATTGTTGTTGGTGGTATGTACCTTGCTCGGATGTTTCTTGAAAGCAGTAGTGCCTCAATAAATATACGAAGTATGCAGGGGCAAGGTAAAGAAAAATATGTTTAAAATTAAGCAATATAGCAAACGTTATTCCGCACATAAGATCATTTCCCTTATATAAAAGATGAATGTAAAAGAAAAGTGTTATATTGATGATTTTGACGTTTCGACATAATAAATTTAAATTACTTACATTTTTGGCATATGCCAATGAAAGTAAAAGTAACCCATAAAGAAATCCATTATATTGAAAATGAATATGTAATTAAAATAAATCAAGGATTTAAAAATCAACAATTGAATTAAAACAAGGTCCTTCCAATTAATTGTTTTTTTTAAGAACAAATAATGGTAAGGATTAAGATATCGATATGAAAAGATTGGGTAGGCTTGTGAAAATCAAAACGAAAGGATATGATCAACCATTAAAATTCCAGGATTCAAGAAGATTGATGTAACAATTATATTAATTATATTTAATAAATTTTTATTCTCCGAATTACTTATTGTCATATATCTATTAATACATTTATTATTATTAAATTCACATTCACCAAAATAAAAGATATTAAAATATTTAAGACTTACTTTTTCAATGCATAAAATAATACTAATTCACTTATAATTACTGTAGTACGTTGAAAGTAAATGGTTGCATCACTTGCATAATTTAAATTATCAACTTTAAGCATTTCTTTATCCGCTAATGATGCGAATTGTGATAAAATCCATTCAAACCATGCAAAAAATGGTGGATAATCTAATGTCCATTCACTCCTATCTTCATAATACCATTTTGATATCGGAAGACTGTGTGTAATAGCAAGCCAATTTCGATGAACTTCAAAATCCGTTGAACGACTTTTATTTATTAAAAAAAATGAATATATAATATATATTCAATTATAATTAACAAACAATTGTAACTTACTATGTAGGAAATAGTAAAAATTTAACAAATGTGCTAAAAATTAATAAATCTTTGTTCATTTTTTTTTTTTTAAAAAAAAAAAAAAAAATTTAGGTTGTTCAATGCACGACAAATAAATTTTTACATTGATGATCTATGTTTGGATATAATTTAAGCTTATTAGGAAAGGTATTTTTCCGTCGATTTTGTATTCCGTGTCACCACAGTACTAAAATTTTATTAAATACTTTAAATTGTCCCTATTTTTACACCTAATTATAAATTACATGTAATTAATTTTCATCCGAAAATTACATTTAAATTAAATTAAATTGTCTCAAAGCGACTTCTAAATGAATCGAAATATATCATCAACCATAAATAATCATTTCCTTATTTTACAATGAAAATGTTAACCTAATTTAATTATGAAGCACTTCGCTTTCTCGCATCATCCTCCCTATCTCCATGATATCCAGAATCTTCTTCAGATTCCTTACTCTTGATTCTGGTAAATCCTCCTGTCCTTGAATGTAATTCTGAGAAAGGTTTATCCCTAGGTAACTCTGTTAATGCTTCGACTCGATAACTTTCTCCTGGAGGTCCGGACGTAAATGAATTTGCTCTACTTCTAGATCTTGAACTGGATCCACTAGCCCATGAACTTGTTCTACTTCGTCCTGATGTACTACCGTTATTTTTCTCTAAAAAGTAAATTACATCATCAAATTCTGATGTTTCTCCTTGCCTTTCCCAATTAAATATTCTATCATCTAACCAATTTATTGGTGATTGGAACAAACTATTGGAAAGTGTAGGCATTACGGAACGTTCTGCCGCTGCTTGGACGATCCTTTCAACATCAAAATCATGATAAATTTGTGGTGCTAACTCATTAATAAGGTTAGTAATATCAGTTGATAATTTCTCGCGAACTGTGCGTAAATTTTGAATAGAAGATCGTGTCCATGGAAGTAGTGACAGGAATAGTGGACGAATCGATCTTAAAAAATTAAATAAAAAATAAATGTATATGATCAATAAATAAAGATTTTCTCTTATATCGGTACAAAATAAAGTATATATCAAAAAATCTTACTTGTAAACGTCAATTCCACTTTCATAAAATCTAATGGTTACATAACTTCCTGTAACCAACGTGCAGAAGGTTGAGATAGGAGCAAAAACCTTCCATTTCAATATCCACTTATATTTAAATGAAATGAGGATCACAATGAATGTATAGAAGCCATAAAGCGTGGGAGTAACAACAAGAGCAACGAGTAATTTCCATGTCGCAAGCACATCACGTCCTGCCACTTTGATAGATGATCCACGGGCAGCTTCTATATAGGGATAATACGCGTTGTGTGAATTATTATGAAAGAAGTAATAGATAATAATAATAATAACCACCTTTGGCTTTCCTTTCACTAATTTTACGCGCAATTATTACAAGTGGTAAGTTTAAAATAAACCTAATATTACACCAAATATATATAAATTAGAAAATTGAATAGTAAATAGAATAGCAATATATTTACAAAGAAATTAACCACCTACCCAGGTAAACCTAAAATTCCCCATGTTGCTAATAATATCACTCTGTAAAATAATAATCCGGCAGCTCTAGTTCCTCCCATAGCTGACCTGTTTACTTGATGATCCTTTAACCCATGATATTTTAATAACTTGTTGTATTCCATAATATGTTTTCGCATTTCTTGAACTCTGGGATCGTCTTTAAAATGCTCATAACCTGCCACGAATCGCCTATTTAATTCAACAATTTGTGAAATTGGTAGTCTTCTATGAGCCGGCTTATATAAACGACGTCCAGCTTGTATGAACTGATGATAAAAACAAATTAGAAAGTTACGCTTTAAACATATCTCGCAGCAAATTATAGGATAATTAACAAACCATCAGCGTCTCGTAATCTGGAGTGTTGACAGTAACGGCTCTTAAACCGTTATAAATGACTTCCAATAATTTCGAACAAGCTTCCTTTTTTGATGGGCCACCTTCCTTAAATTTCTCCACTAAATCAGGTGGAATAGAAATTGGAGAACCAAATTCTATAACCGCACGTGATCTGAAATGGTGAGCGTGAAAATAATTCAAACCTGTATTCTCAAAAATTAATTTCAAAGATTAATATTTGAATATTCTAAAAAAACAAGTATTGTAGGATCTCTATTACAACAATCGGTTGAGAATTTTAATTACCACATGGAACTATCTTGACATTCAAGTCGGGATTCACAGCAATTGCTCCCAAAGCCATTATTGTCACGCCAGCTATAATAAATCATTAATATTACACAAGGATCTAGAAAACAGCCATCATGGTTAAATAAATACCTTTAAGTGGCAAGATTTCCGTGCGGTCGTGACTACCACCTTCCGGAAATATTCCAATGCAATGACCCAATTTCAGAGTGTCGAAAACGATTTTATATACTTGACTATGATCAATATGTGGGAAACACTTATATGGCGTGCCTTCGGGATCTGTGAGCATGTTTAAAGCATTAATCTCTTTGAATTCTCTTTTTATAACTAATTCCGTGTCTGATAATATCTCTTTTACTTCAGACGAGCCGTGATCCATAGGAAGAGCAATTCGAGATCCAACTTGCAATTGTTGTGTAAATGCAGTTCCGATACCGGTGATTCGAGTTGGATCGGTTTTACGATTAAGAAGTTGAATTCTTCCTTTTCCGACTTGAGCCGAATCCTGAGGTCTATTAACTGGGACTAGAAATATGATCATTAATTAATAAATAGTTGAGATTTATTATTAAAATATATTTTTTTTTATTTTGAAATCATTGAATGATGATTACTCACTTGCATGAACAGCACGAGCCATTGCTCCAATATATTTGCGACGCATCGATTTTTCTGCAATCAAGAACGAAACATGCCGCTGACAATGCCGCATCAAAATCAATGGATCAACAAACTAATGACGAAACAAGTAACAGTTACTATTAATGAAAAAAATATTTTATTTGATAACCTTAAGGTTCTTTTTTTCATTGAATTCTTTTGTTCTTAGTGAAGTTGAAAAATCGTTTTACCTGGTTTGCATGAGGAGCTGCGACAAATATTACTGGCCCCTCCTTTGGTACTTTATGTGATCCGCGAGGCCTTATTTCACGGAAGAAAATGTCCAGTACCACATTAAAGAAGCTTACAACTACATCATAACTTTGAAGAGTCATTTTTAATAGAACAAAAATATTAAATTTTTTTTATTTATTATTCAAAATTTGTGCCAGAATAAAAAATATAGTGAATTTGGTCGGAAAAAAGTTATTTATATCTAATTATAACATATATATTACAAAAATAAAGCATATAATCTTGTCTTTTTATAATTTATCTACAGTGTGAATATACAAATGTGAAATCGAAAATCGAATAAATTCGTTAGATTTTTATACTTTTTTTTTCAAACACGGTAACCATAAAAGTATCGTGAGAAAATTAAAAAAAATGGGGGAAATCTGTAGTACTACCAGATCAGTTGAGTAATTTGTTTATCGTTGAAAATCTACACTTGAAAAATCTTGGGGAACGCGTGATCTATCTTGACGCCAAAAATATTTTAGGGGCACATTACCCCCTGGAAACAGTAATGTTCTTTCAAATTCCAAAATCATAAAACATGTGACTCATGACGTAACGAAATTAAAGTTTATATTTGCAAAACATTCGAACCAAAAAGTTCACACATTTTGAAGCAACATGTTTCAATCAACAAATACATCGTCTCCCACTTCCAGATCTAATCGTAGCATGAATACAACGTGGGATCAAGTTCGTAAGGAGGTTAGAGCATACCGAAGTTCTGCTCAGCCGTCCAACTTAACAAATATTAAGGATTTTTGTTTTGACGAAAGGAACAATCGCGCATACTTTCTTGCGACAGATCCTTCACGAATGAAAACTTCAACTTTATTTGCGGTTGATTTGCCTCATTATAATAGAGAAGAGTTAGTCGAAGGTTCTCGCCTTGGGACGGTCAATTCCATTTGTAATGACTACCCGTTCACGTTTCATAATAATGAATTTCAGGTGAAAGGTAAGAACATTTCTCATTATTTTTATTTATTTATTTATTTATTTATTTCGCTTCTTTACGCAATATATAGATTATGAAATTGATTAGTATTGATAATGATAGAATAGTGTTTAATTATGCATTTATTATGAATTTAATGACCCGCATTGGCTGTATATCATCAAAGATTTTTTTAAATAAAACAATCTTGACAATCTTGTATATAAATTCGAAATAAATTTCACATTCATAGGAAAATGAAATGTATTATATATCATCAGATTGGTTGGTGTTAATATACGTTATATTTCTTATATTTATTATAATAAGGAAAATTTAATATTCAAATGATTTTATTAAACATATTCATTGATATAATTAATTGTTTTGTAGAATTTTCCTTTACTTTTTGTCCATCTACTTCCAATGATACATCTTCACTCTCACCACCACCTATTAAATCATCAGATTCGGATGGTTTTATTATGAACAAAATGTCTTCTACTTCATTTACAAAATTTTCAAAGTCTTCAAAAAATATAAATATATCGTCAAAAATGTCAACCGTGGAATGGAAACCTTTACTTCCAGAATCATGGTTGAAAGAAAAGTCTACTTCCTCCTCCTCAGAGACATTATCACGTGAAGAAACATTCATAAAAGAACGGAGGAGGTTATCCTTACAGGGTATAACGAGCTACCAATTCGACCCGATTAGTGGACAAATCTTGTTCAGTTATGGAAGTGGTATCTATTTAGGACATACTACCAAGGTAAATTTCGTATAATGAGCTCCTCTCCACTAAATATTAATCAATACAATTATAATTATTTTAATAAATCTATTTTTAATTTTGACTATAAATTTTTTAGAATGGAGAATTTTATCCGTGTCCCATAACACCTTACTCTTCTAGTTCAATAATATATTCGGGCAACATTTTAAGTTACCCTATAAATAATTCACCGCGACAAAATAGCATTTCTCCCATTTCATCCCCTTCAACCACTGCTTCATCATCTCCATCACATTCACCATGTTGCTCGTCAGCAATTCATTCCGTATCACCTCGATTGGACCCAAAATTAGGTGGTCGTGATCACAATTTAGTAGCTTTCATTCGAGATCGAGATATATGGGTAACTACGCCTAATGGTTGTGAAACTCAGTTAACGTTTTGCAACGATCATGATCCTGACGGCACAGCAGCTTTAAGCTGTGGAGTTGCTGAATTTGTTATGCAGGTAAGATGAAATATTTTAATTTATTGTTTTTACCAAATCAAGTGAATCTTAGGATTATATATATATATATATATATTCGTATATCTATCAAAGGAGGAATTTCACCGATTCTCGGGCTATTATTGGGCACCACCTTCATTATCAAATTATATGAAAGATAATCTCAATCGTATTTTATACTTGCAAATTTCTGAATCGATGGTCGATTTAATTTTAATATCAAGACCAGGTCCGCAAGGGGAAGTGGAAGAATATAGATATCCAAAAGCCGGTATGTTAACTGTATTCGTATTTACTAAATTTTTTTTAAAGAAACCATTTTTTTTAAAAGTTTGAATATTACTTAGGTACGCCGAATGCTGTGAGTGATTTACAGATTGTAGAATTTATTCCTCGAAATCATGAAGAGGAGGTAAATAAGAATGAAATATCTTTATTCAAAAATTTGAAGTCATTTCTTCTTTTTTTTAAAGTGTCAATATTTGACGCGACCGATCTTTAAAGGATTCTTATGAACCAGTTCACAAAAGACTTTGGGGCAAGGCCGCCTTGGATAAACGTTTCCCTTGGATGGAGTATATCGTACGTTTTGGATGGTGTCCAAATGGTAAAAGGTATTGTCATCATTTTAAATTTTTTTTTTTATATTTATTAATTTATTATGACATTCGATTGGGCCTAATGCTTTAACCGCGTAATTTTTTTCCGTTTTTTTTACAAATATCTCGTGTAAAAAGTGTGTGGGTGCAGTTTCTTGATCGATTACAAAAGCGAACAGCAATTGTAAAAATACCAATTTGTAACTTTATGAGCATGGCGGAATATCAGCAAACATGTGGCCAGTATGATGATTTATGCATATCAAGAATTGAGGTGGTTTTTGAAGAAAGTAGTGACGTTTGGATAAATGTAGGTAACTCAATTTTTTTTATTTCTAAAGTTATTAGAGTTAGATAAGAATTAACTCTTGACACTTAAATCTTTTAGGTCACTGATATATGTTATTTCTTTAATGATGACAATGATTTCGGTAATCCAAGGTCTGGGACACACCTTGCTTCGCCATCTCCATTAACGCATACACTCCAAACACCTTTATCACCCACTAAACTTTTTTTAACTTCAGAAAGTAGTGGTTTTCGTCATCTATATTTTGTGGTGAAACCGTCTGTATCTTCACCAAATTATCACATTAGAGCGATTACTTCTGGAAATTGGCCTATTGTGGACAAACAAATATACGTCGATACCAAAAGACAATTAGTTTATTTTACCGCAAAGAAAGATACACCTTTAGAGACACACTTGTACGTCGCTAGTTATTCGGAAGATGCCGATTCTTCAGAGGTAATACGATTAACGGAATTGGGTTACAGTCATATTGTGGTTATGGACGAAAAATGTGAAAGATATCTAGATTGGTTTTCAAGTATTAGTGAAAAACCACGATGTAGTGTGCGTTATTTAGTATGGGATAAGGGAAATATATTTCCTCGAGTTAGTGATACAATTGGTCTTTACGTAAAGAGTAAAGAAGACAACAAGAAAGAACAGGACGATAAGAAGCTATCAAAAAAAATTCCCTTAGGAGAATTTTTTGATTTTATAAATAATGATGGTGTAAAAATATATGGGTGTCTTTATCGGCCTGAAAATTATGTTCCCGGGAAAAAATATCCCACTCTTTTAAGCATATATGGTGGACCAAAATCTCAGGTTTGGTCTTATAATTTATTTATAATTTATTTATGCTATTGAATTTTTTTCAGTAGGTAAGACCTTTTTTTCTTATTACAGATGGTGACTAATGATTATAAATATCCGCGACTACTTCGATTGTTCCTTGCAATACGACTTGGATTCGCAGTAGTTTTAATTGATGGTCGTGGATCCTCGGATAGGGGTGTAGCGTTTGAATCTTTTCTCAAAGGTCGCATGGGTACCGTTGAAATTGAGGATCAGATAGCAGGACTCAATTATTTAGCAAGCAAAAATATGGGTATTGATCTAGAAAGAGTAGCCATTACGGGATGGAGTTATGGAGGTTATTTAAGTTTAATGGCATTGGCTCAATATCCGCACGTATTTAAATTGGCCATTGCGGGAGCGCCTGTAACGCAGTGGGAACTTTATGATACGGCTTATACCGAACGTTACATGGGACTCCCATCGGAAAATCCGGAAGGATATCATAAAGGAAGTGTTCTAACTTGGGTTGACAAGTTTCCCGATAGGTATTTAGAATTAACCCTTTTTTTAAATTTTTATTTTTTTTGTAATTTTATTGAAGCTTTATTTTATACCAACTTGATATTTTCAGTGAAAATCGACTTTTAGTTGCCCATGGGCAAATTGATGAAAATGTTCATTTTAAGAATTCAGAATTGTTAGTATCAGCGTTGGTTAAGCATAACAAACCACATATGTTACAACCATATCCAACAGAGAGACATGGGTTAAAACATGCCAATGTTGCTGAGCATTTTGAAACTTTAATGTTTTTTTGGTTGGTGAATTACCTATAATCGTCACCTTACGTTTATAAGGTTGAATATCCTTTTTTGTTGTTGTAATATAATAGTTTTCAAACCTAAAAATGGGAAAGTGTATGGAAGGAACAATTAAATTAAAACAAATTTTTGGACTCTGATTTGTTTATTAATGATACGTTTTTAATATAATATATATTTATTTATTTATTATTTTCATTTTTTTTTTCATCTCGATTATATTTGTATATTAAATTTCTAGATTAAATATCTAGATTGTATTATAAATAAAACTGTCTTATTCAGGCAAAAAAGCCGATTACTTAGCGCTATCATCTTGTAACTTGATAATCGGTTAATGATATTTTTAACGCATTATTCGGTCCGGTTTGGTCCAAGAAAACCGTTTAATAAGACTGGTCCTAAGACTCACTATTTTTGTTCCGGACCGATTTTAAGACCGGTCCTAAACCAGTCAAAGCTTGTTTTATTATTATCACTAGGTAACGGGAACCGTTAGGAGCGTCCGAAGCGTTAATCAACATAATAATATCTTTAATACTGTTTATTTATAAAGTTAAAAATACGATTAATTAAAAAAATTATCAATTCCTAACTTTATTAGAATAATTTAATCGTTGATCTTTTTTAAATAGTTAGTTAAATGTTCGAAAAACTGTGTTACACAAATTGATTAACAGAAATGTGATTGGCAGATCACGCGTCGTGACAGACACCACATGCATAGTTTTAGCTCTGAATTTTTTTGTTTTACTTGTGCAAAAAGTAAATTTTTATTAACTGATATAATTTAAGAAATGATTACATTCGCTTATCAATTAGTTTGCCAGGTGAAACCAATGGATATAATAGATATTCTGAATCATCCATTTCTAATTCATTATCCATTTCTCTTAATTTTTTTAATTTTTCTGATCTAAACTTTTCAAGTTTTTCTTGATCTTTTTTATGTAAAATTATAACCTCTTTGACTTTCTTTAAATAATAATCATCTAAATAATAATCATGTAGCAAAGTTTCCAGGATTTGAATCCTTTGCTCTAGAGATGATGCTTCAGGTCTGTTTTCAACTTTTTCAGCTAAAGGAATACCCGCAGATGAAACATATTTTTTTGCTAAATTTTTCGTAAAACTTCTTCTACAAGGAATACAGGATAAAATATATGTTTGCGCCAAACCCCTTTTAATAAAAAAAAAAGTTAAAATAATAATAATAATAATAATAAATTACCAAATTGATTAAAGTATCACGTACCAAGGTGCAAGTTTTGGCATTCCAAATAATAAAATAAAGAATCCTATAAATTAATTGTGTTAAAACGACGGTAACGTTAAAGTTTACAACAGTATGATTTTTATTAACTTGACCTACCTCCGATAGCACTATAAATACCTCCAATATTTGACAAAAAATTCGTAACTGTAATTGAATAATGTAATATTTATATATATTTTTGAATAAATTGTTTATATAAGCATATACTTACATCTGTATATATTATCTTCAAAATAGTAGAAATTTGGTTTTATCTGAATTCCAAATTGAAATTCATTGGATTCTAATGTTATTGGTAATTTTTCTAATCGTGAGTTAAAACTTAATGTTTCATTAGGACCGGAAGTAAATTCATCAAGAGTTATTAAGAGAGCTCGTGGATAAATTGAAGATATTTCTCCTCCCAAAATAGAACTTTGATCAAAAAAATGATATAAATCATCAAGATTGTATCTGTTTTGAAACCTAAAGGAGTTAAACGTCAAATTTAGTCGATTATTAATATTTTGTCCCAAATATTCTGATAAATTATTAAAAGTATCACTAATATTAAAAGGAACACTGGCATTCCACCAAATTATATCATCACTTTTAATACTAAAGTGAACAATTTGACAAGGAGGAATTATTTTCATTGAATTGGTTAAGTTTACATCTGGATATTTGACAAATTCGCTGGAGAATATTTGGACACCAAATTCCTGAGAAATTTCAGTACAGATATTTATAGCAAAAATAGTTTCTATTTGAAAATTTTCGTTAATTTCACTTCTTTTTATATAAATAAAAACAATAATAACAACAATTTTTTTTACCATTGATACTTTCTTTGCGTAATTTAATAGAATATAAATTTTGTCCAACTCGACTAAATTGAAGTATTGAATAACCTAAAAGAATGATCGAGAAAATAACGGCAATAAAACCTCGAAAACATATAAACCAAATTGGTTCGGTTGATCGATGTTTAAAAAATGCATCAACCAAAAACATTATGGGGAATTTTTTTTGGTTTTTTTTTTTAAAAGAATCAACCGACTTAATATAGGACAACGGGTTTGACCCTCTTCATGTCTTCATGTGCTATCTTGATCTGAGCAATTATGCAGGTTTTTCTTGTGATAATTGATAATGTGATGATTTGAAACGCGGCTATATTATCAGAATGTTGAGCGGTGGGTTATTTAACGGTTAATTACATAACGATAAGTAATGGTTAATTAAAAAGGTTAATTAACGCCATTCCTAATTGTACGATCTTTTTTTTAAAAAAAATATGAGCGAAGAAAGTATATATTACTAAAATAAAAGTTGTTGAAATTGTTTGTGAAATGTGATAATGAAGATTTTTTTTGATATATCACATTATCAATTATCACATTTCGGGCCCAAAAAACCTGATCAGTCCGATACTTTATACTTTGAACGGGCGGAAAACGGGTGTGACCTTTCATAGAAGAATTTTTGAGCGGGCGGACAACGGGTGTCACGGTGCATTGAAGTATATTATATTTAAGTACTCTTTATCAGAATCTCAATACAAAGTCACATTGAAAATATAAACTATATAAATATTCCTGCTGAATGCAAACCTCATTGAAATTCATATATATTTACTTAAGTTTTCCTACAAATCTATTGATAATTTTCTAGTTCGAAATGGGAAAAAATAAGAGAAATCGTCTCTTCAATAAAATATTCCTAGGATTATTTCTTGTCGAAGTTATAATGAGTATTATATTCGTATTTATTTTACCAATGAATAAATTTCGATATTTTTCAACTTTAATAGTTATTATTGCTACTTCCATATCAGTCATTTATACAGTAAGTTACCTTTTCTTTCATTACTTGCTTTTAATATAATTATTTACTTTATAACCCAAATTACTTAATTTGGAAATAGATTCTTAAGGAAAAAATGCTTTATTTTATAGCGTTTTTTGTAGTAAATTCTATTCAAAGCTTAACTTTAATTGAACCCAGTTATTTTCTTATAAGAGAAAGATATTTGAGCGTTGAAAATTTTTCATCTGGTAAATTTTTTTCATATCTTTGATGTTATGACTTTACTTTGAGCTGATATTTACTTTTAAATTTGTAAAGAAAATTTACGTGTTTTTATACATATTATTTTGATAAAACTTGATAATATTGATTATAAATATCAAATGAAATTGAATATTATTGATTATAATGATATTAGAAATAAATGTAATAAATTATTTTATCCAAATATCATTATTATCGCTTCAATGTTATTTTTTGAAATATCGTTTATTGTTTTATTTCTCCTTATGTGGAAATATCAGTAAGTTAGGTTTCAAAACTATTGTTTTTAAATGTTTAATTTATTTATAACTATTTATCATCAAGTCAGATGCTGGAATTTTATTTCTAAAACATCAATACGGAAAGAATTTCGAAGTAAATGAAATTAAGATTCATCTTATTTATGAAACTATGAAACTTTCTAAATACTGATTTTTATTTTTTTTATTACTTTAGAATCTTTTATTGCATACAAAATTTTCAAGTTCTTATTATATATGACATTATATTTTATCATTATATCACAAACTTTCTTTATAGGAGATGTCTTACTATATAACCAGTATGATGTGGATTTGGGATCTTTCGGATTATTACCCTTATTATATTTACCATTTTTTATTTTAACGTTCAGCCCAAAAATGGTTTAGTATCAATTATTGTTTTGCAAAAATCTTTATGAATTAAGGTATTTATTAATTAATACTTTATTTAAATTAATAATAGATTAGAAAGAAAATGAAATTTGGAATTTATCCTATTTATATGGCTCTTATTCTACAATTCTCTTTTATATCTACGCTATTAAACAATGAGACTATATTGAGTAAGTAAACTTTTTAAAAATTAAAAATATATCCTAATATCATAATTAAAATTTTTATTTTTGTATATACAGTTAGAATATTATTATGCTTCTCATTGATCTTTTCATGTTTATTACTTGTAAATACATCATATTGTCATTATCATCAAGATGAAATCCAAATTTTACATTGTAAGTATTTTATTAATTTGATAATATTAATAATTATCATCATTAAAAAACATAATTTTTTAATTTTTTATTTAGTGGCGTTAAATCCCAACTTGGGTAAAGAGTATGAATATTCAGATGACTTAATGTTTGAACATAATGAAACTTTAACATTTTCTTCTCGACTAATTTCAAGCATTGTAATATCTTGCTTTTCTAAACCTCGCAAGGATAAAAAGGTTTCCGAAGCTGAAAATAATGAAACGATATTAGTAGAATAATTACTTTCGTTTTTTTTATAAAATAAAATACCTGATCTATATATATTATTTTTATTTTAGATACGACTATGTCCTGTCCTATAAGTTTTTCTATCTATTAATTTTAAAATAGATATTGCATTTTTAAAATTGAATACTTTTTTCTGATTATATGGGGCCTTTGCAATAGAAAGGGGGGAAACTGCCGGAAAAATCAAAAATGAGTTAAAAATCATATTTGGCATATAAAAGTAAAATTAATTTTTCCCGGCAGTTTCCCCCCCTTATATGCAAAGGCCCCATATTATAATTGATTGGCTTTCAAATAAAAAAAATTTTGGTTGATTTTTAATTTTATATAAAATCTAATAATTTATTGTAGGTTAGAGAAGCTAATCGAGAGATTCTCATCTACCCACCCTATAGATAATTTTTTTTATCTGTGATTTTGTAAATAAAAACGAGTATAATATAATTTTAAATAATAAAAATATAAAAAATTGGCGCATTCAGTTTATAATAAAAGATTTTTTTTGAACATTATTAATACTTAGTACTAAAATATATATTAAAAGTATTAATTTTTTTATGGTCAAATGTTGTTTATTTAATTAAGTCTCTTTGTTAGTAATAGTAATATTTTAAGCGAAAAAATAAATCAAAGAATAATGAAATTTACTTTGAAATTAGTATTTTTTTAATATTCGACGGAAATTGGCTCAACTCAAATAGTTAATCTTGCTCAAACGGGTTAGTTCAAATCGTTCAAATCTGCTTAATAAATTCAATTCTCATTCATGATGAGGTCATTTTTAAATTTATTTCTGTAAGGTTTGCCATTATTTTCACTAAAAATTAGTTCTTTTTGGATATTTGAGATTTATTAAAAATTCTGATAAAGGATTTCTTTGAAGCATCATGCTAAATAAGCTAGAAGCATGGCATACTTAATTAAATTTGTTTACGAAAGTTAGCTTACTCAATTTAACATCCCTAATCAGTTCATATTTTTTAACACTATATATTAATGTAAACTTCACCACATATCACATATGTTACGGACTGGTTCTCAGAATATAGGATCACAGGACCCGGTAAGATCAAGACTGAATATTTTTTTGAGACAGTTGTTTACTGCGCATAAATAATCAGATATATAATTTAAGAAATGATTATATTAAAAACAATCATTCATCCACATTGTTGAAATTAGATAGCAAACTTTCATTATTATTTTCATCTTTTATGTTAATGTTTTCAAGCATTTTTTTATGTTGAATTTTAGTCATTTGACTAACTTTAATTAAGAATCATCTAAATAATAATCATGTAGCAAAGTTTTAATTCGTTGCTCTAGAAATGATGCTTCAGGTCTTTTATTAACTTTTCAGCTAAAGGAATACCCGCAGATGAAATATACTTTCTTGTGAGACTTTTCGTAAATCTTTTTCTACAAGGAATGCAGCAAGTATAATTTTGCGCCAAACTCCTTTTAATAAATAAAATTTTTCTTAAAAATAATAATAATATTAATATTAATTACTAGATAATATCGCGTACCAAGGTGAACATTATCCTATAAATTAATCGGTTAAAACGACGGTAATGTTAAGGTTTATAACCGGATGATTTGATTAACTTAACCAACCTCCAAGATTGCATCTATAGTTGAATAGTGTATTATTATTATTTATATATATAAATTGATTTTATATAAATATTTACTTACAAATGTATTTCTTCATTTTTTCATATTTAATTTTAATTGCCTTTAAATGAATTCCAAATTGAAATTCATTGGAAATTAATTTTATGGGTAATTTTTCTCTCTTAAAATAATAGAATATTCTTTTTCTGTTCGATCAAATTGATGAACTAAATAAACTATTAGTATGGTTGAGAAAATAATGGCAATAAAACCTCGAAAAAATCTAAACCAAATTGGTTCGGTTGTTCGATAGTTACGAAATGAATCAATCAAAAACATTATGGAAAAAAATTTAATAATATTTTTTTTTTTTAAAATTTCAGGAATCGACTAATTTATTACTACATTTGTTTAACGGAAATGATTGATCCAAAAATTTTGCAGTTCCGTTATTTCTGATCCTTATTCTCTTGAAAGAGACCAAATCATGTGTTAACTCAATATTTAAGTGGGCGGACAACAGCAAGATTATCATATAACAAAGCCCTGTTCATTTCTTATCCGTGATGTTCCTGTTCCTGTTTATACAAACATCATCAGCCGATGAAAATTTCAGGAACAATTCATTCGCTTTTAACCGATTTGTGATACATAATTTCTGCTTGGCTAAATCAACGGAAATGAACAGGGCTAAAAGCCATTGTTCATTTTGTTTCCGGTTTGTGACTGAATGATGGATCAAATATATTTTGACCTACGGAACAGGAAAAAATTTTTTATTTTTCTGACCCGTAATGTGATAATTGAAAATGCGATAATTTTGAAACGCGGCTCTGCTCTTTTTTAGAAATTTCTTAATATGAACAATATTACAATAAAAAAGCTTAACATTAAGACATTTTTCGGGTCTATTTTTTTTTGTTATGAATAACCTGCGGGCGGACAACTGTGTCAAAAAGTATAAAATTTTAAGTACACTTTAACAGAATCTTAATACAAATCCACATTTAAAATATACAACTTCATAAATATTCCTACATTAGTCATCTCATTGAAAATAATATACATTTACTTACAATAAATCTATAAATAATTTTCTAGTTCAAAATGGAAGGAAAGAATAAGAGAAATCGTCTCTTTAACAAAATATTCATAGGATTATATATTCTCGAAGTTATAATGTGTCTTATGTTCGTATTTATTTTACCAATGAATAGATATTTTTCACCTTTTTTAGTTATTGCTATTTCCATATCAGGTTTTTTACCGTAAGTTACCTTTTACAGTATTTAATTACTTGCTTTTAATATATTTACTTTCGAAAAATAGATTTTTAGGAAATTGCTTTATTTTGTGTAGTAAACTCTATTCATAGCATTTATTTTAATTGTAACTAGTTATTAGCTTATAAGAATTTTTTACTCGTATGAGTTTATAAATCCCAATGATTTACAAACGACATTAAGAGGTAAATTTTTTTCTTCGAAGTTTATGATTATAGGTTATTTTTATTTGTGCTGATAATATTTATTTTTAAATTTGTAAAGTGAATTGGGTACATTTATTGGAGATATTTGATATCCGAAATGAGGATTATGTTGTTCGAGATGATCTAATATCAATATTTGTCAATAAATTTAAAAAATTAATTTTATTTCCAAATCTCATTGCTAGTGGTTCAATGTTATTATTTGAAATATCTTTTATTGTTTTATTCTTCCTTATGTGGAAATAGGTTTCAAAATCTATTGTTTTTAAATGTTATTTTATTTAAAACTATTTTTCATAAATCAGATGCTGGCATTATATTTCTAGGATCAATACGTGAATATTATCAAAGTTACATCTTATTTTATGAAATTATATTTTTTTTAAATACTGATTTATATTTATTACTTTTAGAACCTTTAAAGTTTTTAAGTTCTTATTATTTATGACATTATATTTATCTTAATATCACAAACTTTCTTTATAGAAGATTTATTAGATTTGGAATATGATATGGTATGTTTACCATTTTTTTATTTTAACGTTCAGCCCAATTGTTTTGCAAATCTTTATGAATTCCGATATTATTTTATTTAAATTAATAATAGATTAGAAAGAAAACGAGATTGGGTATTTATCCTATTTATATAGCTCTTATTCTACAATTCGTTATTTGTTCAATTTTGATAGTACGCCACAATAACATACAAGCTAATAAAAAATTGCATTAAAAATATATATTAAGTCGTATCAATTAATAAAATGATAATTGAACAAAAAACTCTCCTACAAGAAGACGCTCCACTTCGCCTCTTTAAACCAACAAAAAACAAATATCAACAAAACTCTTGACATTTCACCACTTCTGAGACTGTTGCTCCAATTGTGATGATGGAAGTTGACCCACCGCCTTCGTTAAAAGGCAAAGAAAAAAACATTCCAGTAGAACCTCCTAAAAACACTGAGGCTCCTTTCGACGTTGACGAAAGTTTCGACGCGTCAGAGAACTTTCCTGACAAAAATACATCATCAGTACAAGCTTTCGACCGACCAAAACCTTCTTTCCATGAATGACCTTTTTTGTTGTTGTAATATAATAGTTATCAAACCTAAAAATGGGAAAGTGTATGGGAAGGAACAATTAAATTAAAACAAATTTTTGGACTCTTATTTATTAGTAGTCAAATGATTTGTTTAATAATGATATTTTATTAATTTATTTATTTATTTATCATTTTCATTTTAATTTTTTTTTTTCATCTCGATTATATTTGTATATTAAATTTTTAGATTGTATTATGCCCTTATTCAAGTAAAACTGATTACTTAGCGATATCAGTTTATTTATTGTAAGACGAAGCCCCACATAGATCCGGTCCAAAAAAAGGTCTATCATCTCTTTTTATCGGACCGGTGACAAATAAGTCTTTGGCCACTATTTTCGTTCCGGATCGATTAAGCCCGGTCCTTAAACCAGTCATAAATTTATTACAAAACACAATTATTATATACCTGTTTCAGAACTTCGCATGTATGCTAAGGACCGGTATAAAATTAACAGGTCAAAATAAAGATCCGGTCTTATCAAAAACGATCAACCCGAAATTTTTTTTTTTTGACAGTTGTTTACTGCGCATAAATAAAGAAACAATTTATTGACAGGTATATAATTTAAGAAATGATATTATTAAAAAAAATCCATCTTGTTGAAATTTAGGTTTGCTTTTCACCAATTTCATTATCATTTTCAGATGAAAACAGTGGATTGTTTTCACCTTCTATGTTAAACTTTTCAAGCCTTCTTTTATGTTGAATTTTAAATCGTTTGATTAACTTTAAATAAGAATCATCTAAATAATAATCATGTAGCAAAGTTTCCAGGATTTGAATCCTTTGCTCTAGAGATGATGCTTCAGGTCTTTTATTAACCTTTTCAGCTAAAGGAATACCCGCAGACGAAACATACTTTCTTGCGAGACTCTTCGTAAAACTTTTTCTACAAGGAACGCAGGATAAAATATATTTTTGCGCCAAACCCCTTTTAATAAATAAAAAATGTCTTAAAAATATATATATATATATCTACTTTATATTTATTAACTAGATTGATTAAAATAGCACGTACCAAGGTGAAAGTTTTGGCATTCCAAAAAATAAAATAAAGATTCCTATAAATTGATTGTGTTAAAACGACGGTAACATTAAGGTTAATAACCGGATGATTTTATATTAACTTAACCAACCTCCGATAGCACTATAAAAACCTCCAAGATTTGAGACCAAACTTACATCTGTAGTTGAATAGTGTATTTTTTTTTATATATATATTTGAAAAAAATTATGTTTATATAAGGATTTACTTACATGTGTATTTTTTCTTATTTTCAAATTTGATGAGTTTTGCCATTGGATGAATTCCAAATTGAAATTCATTGGGCTCTAATTTTATGGGTATTTTTTCTAATTGTGGGTTAAACGATAATTTTCCATCAGAATTGGCAATATAATCCTTAAGAGATATTAATAGAGCTTGTCCCGGATTAATTAAAATTGTTTTTTTAGTATCAAACGATAATTTATTATCGTCATAATTTTTAATATTTCCTTTTAAAAGATGGATTAAATCAAATGATTTCTTTAAATATTCGATTTTAGTAAAACCAATTATTAAAGATAGTGAATCAGTATGATTTCTGGAATAATAATGTTTCAAATATTCTCCTACATTATTAAAAGTATCATTAACCTTTAAAGGAACACTGGCATTCCACCAAATTACTTCACGACTTTTGATATGTTTGAATAGAAAATGTTGACAAGGAGGTATTTTTATATTTTTATATTTTAGAAATGGTTTGTTGGCGAATCCTTGGATACCAAATTTTATATTAGAAATTCCAGTACAAATAGTTATATTAAAATCAATTTCTATTTAAAAATGTTCGTTAATTTACTTATTTAACTTTTTATATAAAACAATAATTATAATAATATTTTTACCATCGATAATTTGTTCTCTTAAAATAATAGAATATTCTTTTTCTATTCGCTTATATTCATGAACTAAATAAACCATTAGTATGATTGAGAAAATAATGGCAATAAAACTTCGAAAATATCTAAACCAAATTGGTTCCGTTGATCGATATTTAAAAAACGAATCTGACAAAAACATTATCGTTATGGAAAAAAAATTTTTTTTTGATTTTTAATTTTAAATTATTCAACCGATTTAATATATATATATAATTAATTTTTCATGGTAATGTAAAGCCTCATTGATAATATACAACTACAAAAAATTTTCTACAAAAATTCTTGTTCATCGATTGAATGCAAAGCCTCTTTCAAAATTTATTTACTTCTCAACAATAATTCTATTAATAATTTTTAAGTCGAAAATGGGGTTCAGTTCGAAAAAGAATAAGAGAAATCGTCTCTTTAATGCTATATTCCTAGGATTATTTCTTGTCGAGGTTATAATGTGTATTATATTTGTATTTATATTACCAATGAATAAATATTTTTCAACTTTATTAGTTATTGCTATTTCCCTATCAGGCATTTATACAGTAAGTTACCTTTTATTTCATTATTTGCTTTTAATATAACAATTTAATTTATAAACCAAATTACTTAATTTGAAAATAGATTATTAGTAAAAGATTATTATATTTTATAGCTTTTTGCGTAGTAAATTCTATTCAAAGCATTACTTTAATTGAATCTAGTTTTATGCTTATAAAATATCCCAATCATTTAGATTTAGCAATTATATTAAGAGGTAAAGTTTTCATCACTTCGATGTTATAATTTTACTTTGTTGCTGATATTTTTTTAAAATTTATAAAGTGAATGAGGAACATCTTTTGAAGTCCATCCAAGATGATGATTATATTAAAAGAATATTGTTTCCAAATATCATTGCTAGTACTTCAATATTTTTTTTTGAAATATCGTTTATTGTTTTATTCCTCCTTATGTGGAAATATCAGTAAGTTAGGTTTCAAATTCAATATTTTTAAATGATTGATTTATTTAAAACTATTTTTCATCAAATCAGATGCTGGAATTTTATTTCTAAAACAACAATAGGATCAATACGAAAAGAATTTCGAAGTAAATGAAATTAAATTAAAATTCATCTTATTTATGAAACTATTGAAACTTTCTAAATACTGATTTATATTTTTATATTTTAGAATCTTTTATTGCATACAAAATTTTCAAGTTCTTATTATATATGACATTATATTTTATCATTATATCACAAGCTTTCTTTATAGTTGATTTATTAGAATACACGGATGATTTAGATTTGGGAATGTTCGGATTATTCTTATCTATTTTATATTTACCATCTTTTATTTTAACGTTCAGCTCAAAAATGGTTTAGTATTAAATATTGTTTTGTCAAAAATCTTTATGAATTAAGGTATTTATTAATTAATATTTTATTTAAATTAATAATAGATTAGAAAGAATGTGATATTTGGTATTTATCCTATTTATATAGCTCTTATTCTACAATCCGTTATTTGTTCAATTATTCCAAAATTGAAACAAATCACCTTTGATATCTTAGATATGGAAAGACTTTCTGGTAAGTTTTTTTAAATTTAAAAAATAATATACTAGTAATCTAATTTAAAAATTTTGTATATACAGATAAAATACTCTTATGGTTTTCATTGATCTTATTACTTTTATTACTTATTAATACATTATATTGTCATCAGAATCTTGATAAAATCCAAAAATTACATTGTAAGTATTTTATTTATTTGACCAATTTTAATAATTATCATCAATAAAAAGTTTTATAATTTTTATTTAGTGGCGTTAAATCCCAACTTGGGTGAAGAGTATGAATATTTAAATGACTTAGAGTCTGATGATGACGAGGGTGAACATGATGAAACGGATGAAAAGGTTTCCGAAAAATTAAGACATTATCGGAAAACTATAAAAAATGCTTTGTATGACACTGTAAAATTACTTTAGACTTTTTTAAAGTAAATCCGATTTTTTTTTAACGTGGCTATATCGGTCGAAGACCAATATAGTTATTCTCCGTTCGGCAATCACAAGGCTTGGCTTTGCCACTTATCTTTTAATCTTTGTGTAAAGTAAATGAGATCTTTCTTAATAACGAAAAGATAAACTAATTTAACTTTAAATCTATGTTATTAAACCGGCGATTCGCAATCGAACTGGTTTGAACTGGTTACAAATTATTTCTTTTTCTTACCCAGCAAGTGATGAGAAATTCAGCAAAAATATAATTAATTGTGAATTCATTTTGATAATCCAACGGTAAACAGCGCCACCTTAGCTATAGAATTTCAAGTATTTAATTTAATATAAATAAGTGTCATGATATAGGTATTTCATAATTTTTGTTGAACATCTCTTTGCTATCGCTATAAACTTTGTTAAATAGATATCTTCTTCTTGTATAAGACCAATAATAAAAATTATCATATCAATTCCTATTCGATAAATATTCCATTGTATAATTTCATATTTATAAGCAATAATTTGAAAGGAACATTTTTTAAAAAAAAATAATAATTGTTGATAAAATTGGAATCTTTTTAAGAAATATATAAATATTAAAATGAAATTAATTAAATATTAAATATTATCATATTAATATTATATAGAGTTTTTGTTTGCACCATCCCGGATGATTTGTTAAAACCCATCCTATATATTTGTTACCTATGTCACACCCCATTTTATCGTTTTTACTAATTATTCTGGAAACAGAGAATTTTTTCGGTGGTGAAATCCCTATTTGTCGCGCCCTTATTTGTCACTTAGGGTTAGTTAGAGATTAGGATTAGGATTAGGGTTAACAAAATCATCCGGGATGTTGGATATAATTTCTCTATTATATAAATCATTTTAATGTCAGATATCATATTTATATTATAAATTATATGATTTTGATACTATTGATTTCTTTTTCGTAAACATATATTGATATAATATATCTATATCATATTGATTATCTGAATTTTATCTGTATTTTTTTAATATCATATTAATATTATAATAAAGATAAAGATAATTTTATTTATTAATTCAACTTATTTATACATTTGCATTTTTATTCAATTTATATATTTCAATTAATAGCTAATATTATTGAAAATAAAAAAAATCTTTAGTAATAGTTTAATAATAACTTTAGATAAAATTTTCTATTTAGTTAAAAAATAAATATTTAAATTGTATAAATTGTATTTAAATTTAAACTAAATTATATCTGAAATTAGGCCAAATATCAATATATTTATTCTAATTCCTATTACCAAAGCTAGTGTCAATTAGATCAAATTCAGATATAATAAATCAGATACAATTCAGCTAAAAAATCAATCAAATTCAGTTTAATTTCAATTTAGCCAAAAATTAATCTGAATTTGAATATAATTATAAATTTAACCAAAAAATAAATCTAAAATCAGACATCTGATTTAAATTAAATTTTAGATAAATGATATCTAAGTTTACTAAATAATTTAAATCTGATTAGAGTATTGAATTGAATTCATAAATATTAGATTAAATTCAGTTTTTAAAATTTTAGATTTGATTTTTAAAATCAAATAATTTGATGATTTGATTTTAAAAATAATTTAAATTTATATTTGAATTATTTATCTAATTATAATAAAATGTCTAATTAACAAATTCCTATTTTAATTCAGATTATTATTCAAATATGTATTTGAATTAATAATTAAATTTTAAATATAATTTAATTAATTAATTAAATTTATTAAATAACTTTAAAGTAAATATTTAAATTAAATTACTATTAGATAAAGCCTTATAAATGCTAATTTGGAAGGTGGTCAGTAGAAAAAGAGGAAATCCAAATTTTAGTCAAAATTTATATTATTAGACCACTTGGTCATGTGCACAAAATTAGCTTAATAATTAAAATTAACAAAAATTTTGGATTTCTCCCTTTTCTACTGACTGCCTCTTATTTATTAAAATAAATAATAAAGTAGATAATACTTAATTTTTAAAATTTAGATAAACAGCCTTTATATTTCCTATTCTATTCTATAATTTTATTTTTATTTTATTTCATACAAATCTTAAACTAATATTTTAATTTTATTTATATATCTTCTCTTTTTTCACTATAGATTTCTCTGTAACTTTACTAAATTTATATGTAAAACCAGATCTTAATGAAAGTTATATTACAATCAAATCTTAATATAGTGAATTCTTGATATAGCGAATTTTTAAATCAAATATATCTTACTATAGTGAACTAACCAATTAAATTCTTTAAAAATTTGTTATAAGCTTAGAATAAAATTGAGATCTAGATTCTAGAGTTCATTATATCAAACATTTATTATATATACTATGTAATTATTAGTTATATTTCTTGAAAATAAATTATATTTCTTTAAATAGTAAACATTTAAATAAAGCTTTGAATGAGTTGAGATAACTATTGAATCAAATTAATCAAATCAAGTTTAAGTCAAGTCAAGTCAAAGTTTTTCTGATTTATTTAATTTGAGTCAAGTTATTAGTTAAGTTGAGTTAATAAATTAACTTAACTCATTTTAATTTGAGTTGATACAGTTGATTTATAAGTCAATATTATAATAAAAGTTATTTTTAAAATATAAAAATCATTTTTGGTATTTACAACTATTTTATAAATTTGTAATTTTACAGATTTAAAATTAAGTTATAATAAATCTATAAGTTTATAAGTTTATAAATTTTTAATTTTAGTAATTTTTTATTGAAAAGTTTATTTAGTTATATAAAAATAAAAATAATTATAAATTAATAATAAAATAATAATAAAAATCTAATTTTTTATAATTTCTGCTTCTTTTTTTATTATTCTTGTAGTTTTTCAGTTAAAGTTATCGTATTAGTATATCAAATGCTACCTTTACTTAAATTAAATTTAGCTATATTATGCATAGCTTGTGTTCACTAATACTATATAGAATTTGATGTTATTTTAATAGTAACACTATATTCTGAATAAATAAAATATTCCTTTTCAACTAAACTAAATTCAAAAACAAATCCCATTGTAAACTCTAATTAATTTTTATCCATATATCCTACAGCTTTATATTTTGGTATAAAAGACTACACCTATTATTTTTTTATCATTTAAATTTACTTTTTATTTAAATGATTTATAAGATAACATAGACAAAAGTAAATACTTTTAAGCATTTCATATAACCATTTTCTAAAACTATTGATCAAATACCCTTTGTGTTGCTAGATCAAGATATTTTTTTGTATACATATGAGCTAGTTAAAGATAGATCTAAAATATTTGCATAAATATCATGACCAACTAAATTTCCTGAATCAGCATGAGTATTTTTTTTACAATTTATTTTAAGATAAGTATTAACTGTATTTTTCATTTTATATCCAAAATGATTCACAAATTTTTTTGCTACATCACAGATAACTTCTCCAACAATTTTATCAGCATATTTTAAAATGAAAAATTTTTTGAGATATTTTTTGGCAAGATCTAATTTATGAATTATGTTAAAATGTTAAAATAACTTATTTTTTTTAATTAATTGATTTAAATCTTTGGAAAGCTTTGATTTAACTTTGCTAACTTAAAAATAAATTCTTACAAAAGTCTTTATTTTTATTATTATTTACTTAATCACCAAATATATTTATAGGATTCTATTAAAATTAATTTTAAATAAAATAAAAAATAAATAGTTAGTTAAGTTAATTAATTAATTAAGTTAGCATAAACTAAAATAGCATATATAGGAGGAAAATATATGACCCAAAGTCATATAAATAATATAAATATAAAATTAATTATAAATCATACGATGTATAATTTAATTTTAATTTAACTGATTCATATATTCTCAAGTATATTCCTATAACTTAAGAATTAAACTAATCTCCTCTTTATATTCCAGAGCCTTATTCAATTTTTTTTATTTAAAAGGATTTAAAAAAATTATAACTATAGTCAACTCTTTTTATAGCAAATTTTAATATAACGAATTTCACGATATAATAGATCTATAGTATGATACAGATTTTTAAATATAGAAAAAATCTTACTATACTGAATATATTAAATGAAAATTTATATTACGTTTAAAAAATTTAAGTATATAAACATGCATTATATAAATACTTTTTTATATAATGCATTTATTTATAACAAAGTTTTTTTTAATACAACAAAGATTTATAAAAATTAATTTTAATAGAAAAAATCATGAAATTTTGTAATTTTTTGTACCTTAATTAAGATTGTTAGACAAAATTCAGAGTTTAGACAGACATCTAAATAATAAAAATAAACTTGGTTAAATTAATTAAAATCTTATTAAAAAATCTGCGAAATTCAGAAAAAGGTAAAACTATATCAAAGCTTATAAAATGGCAAAACTATATTAAATACTTAGTAAAAACTTAGCAAAATTAAAGATTTAAATGTTTAACCAATTCAAAATGAGTTTAGATAAGTAACCTTAACTTTAATAAAATTAACAAAAGTGTTTTGTATAATGTTTCACAATTTTTTTTATAAATGTTTCTTTATTTCACATGTTTAATAATATTTTTTCATATTTCTTTAACATAAAAATGCCAAAAGTAAGTTCAAAGGAACCTAGTAATGAATCTTTAAAAAATATGAAAGTCTCTTACTACTGCACAAAAAAAAGAGATTTGTTTAAAAAAAACTTCATTTCTGTTACTAAAACAAAAAGATCTAGTAAACAAATATAAAGTTAGTGAGGATATAGTTAGTGATATTTTAAAAGAAAAGGACTGTTGATTTGCTATAGACTCTGAATCATATAAAGCTGGGTTGAAACGTGAAAAAAAAACAACCTTTCCTTTATTGAGAAAGCTTTAATTCTTTAGGTAGAAAATGCACTTCAAGCTAATCTCGTTATAACTGATAATATTCTTTTAACAAAGACTTTAGAGTTTGCTTTTTTGTTTAATAAGGATAAATTTAAAAATTCCAATAAATAGGTAGACAATTTCAAAAAACAGCATAACTTAGGTAATATAATATATTGAAACTATAAATGCATTACTTGATGATCTCGATATAATGCGTAATGAAATTTGTAGTATACTTAAGAATTATAACCCAATGACGTCTTTAATTACAATGAAACAGGTTTTTTTAAGATAAAGCCCAGTCACATAATATCAAATGGCCAAGTATCTAGAACTAAACAATCAAAGAATTGTGTAACTACCTGTAATACAACCAGAAATAAACAGTTGGTTCCTCTTTTCATACATAAGTATAAAATCCTCAAGTCCTGAAAAATATTGATAAGAAGATCCTTTCAGTTGAATATTACTGGAATAAAAAAAGTTGAATGCAAGTATCAATTTGAAATAAATATATTAAAAAACTTAATAACCAAATGATAAGGCAAAATCAAAATATTCTTCTTCTCATTAATAATACCCTCCTCCATCAAACACCTTCTCTCAAACAATACAGCGTATCTTTAACCTTGTGATCAAGGTATCATTAACAGTTTTAAGGTGAGAAATGTATTAAATTTAATTTACTTTCTACATTTTATTTTCTTTATAGAATCTAAAAAAAAGAAAAAAACCAAGTCTAACAAAAAAAAATTTATCCATCAAAAGTTATGTTCATTATATTATTACGTTTAGGCCAAGTTTATTTATTTATATAAAATATTGTGATAAAAAGGTTTTAATATATTTTTCACAGAATCGTTTATATTTTTTCTCTTATATTATTTATTCATCACTATGCTACACAAGAAAACACCTTATTTAAGACGAAATCCAAGCTCTTTATTATGATCGAAAGGATATAAAAAATCCATAAATTACGAAAAATTCAATTAGGCACAGAACAATTAATATAAACTTTAAAAAATGAAAAGTTTCCTATAAGAAATTTAATTTGTTCCTCCACAAATCAATGAATTTCTTGATTTCCTTTCGGGTCTCAATAATACCTTTCAAGAAACTAAGAATGGCTAACGAAAGCTTAAAAAAAGACACATAATCATAAGATATCGCTTTACTCGTAAACCAACTCTAATATTTTTTTTTAAAAAAAAAAAGAATTTTAATTTATTAAATTGAAAAAATAAAAGTAAATGTAATGTAAAAAAAGTTTACAAACCTGAATAATTATATCAGGAAGATCTCCAATAATAAGATTAATGAAACCTGCCCTAAGTATAATTGATGATGATTCATGGGATAACTTTGAATTAAACCTAGTTCCTAAAATTTCTAGTTTGGATTGAAGTATATTTAAAGCTTTGACATCAGCTCCTGCTAGTATAGTGAATAGTATTAAAACTTTTCGATTATTCCTTGTCCAATCGAAAAGCGATAGTGTTCCGAGAGGAATGAATTGTTTTTCAGAATCAGATGCAGGTTGTTGAGGAATAGATATTTTTTCAGGTTCTTTTGGTTTAGGTGCAATTTCGTCGAGAATGATTTTTAAGACAAATGCTAAATTTACAACATATGGAAATATTACAAAAAAAACGCTTGAAGGCAAAAATGTATATACAAATCGTAAATAATTTTGAATCTTTAATTTTTTAAACAAATTTAAATTAGTTCGGAAATTGGGTACCTTGTAATAAAAATATTATCAACGGTATTTGCATCTCCACTAGCAAAAATAATTCCTATCACAAATTTTGTAATAATAAGGGCACCATTATAAATTTCTGCATAATTTGGCTAAATTAAAAAAATATATATGTATATATTATAATAACGTTTGATTTGTTACAATTATAAATATAGCAATGTTATTTACCTCAGTATCTTCCTCAGAAACGTTCTGCTCATTCTCCTTAAAAAAATTTTGTACTTTTTCTGAAGCAACTTGCCAAAGTGTCTAAATTAAAAAATATATATATATGATTGAACTAATATTGAATAAATTAAAATATATTGATGTTACCTACCTTCTTATTATTTCGTCTTAAATATAAGTAATATATGGTCAATATTATAAAGCCTATAATTGTTCCAAGAAGTTCAAATCCGTGATTTTTTATCCACCTGGCTATATTAAAATTATTAAAATAGAATATTTTGGTATTTTTTTTTTCTTGGATAATTTTGAAAATGATCTCTTACGATTGGATTTATAGCCATAATCCGGATCCAAATATCTTGTAAATTCGCCAGATGCAATAACTGTGATGGGTTTATGTTCAATCAAAGCCTTTAAATCTTTAACGATTGAATCGACTGATCTTCCTTCCATAGTTTCAGCTTTCTTAACATTGATGGACAAAATGATTTGTTCTTGAGATTTGTTAGGGAGTGAGGCAATTTGAAACCTTCTATTGGTAGTGATTCGATTCGTAACAACGGGGATCGCACTGGCCAACTCTTTGGTTAATTTCATAAAAAAATTTTCACGTCCGTCATGATTAAGCTTTCTAAAAGTAATGGTCCCTTCCGGTGTCAATCGAACACTTCCATAAATGTTATCTAAAGACGTTTTAATTGTTTCAATTGACTTCGTTATATCTGAACTTTGGTCTTCATCCGAACCTATTGAAAAGTCATTAATTTCTGATCAAAGTTATCATTTAACATGATAGAGATCTGCAAAAGCACTTACGTGTTGTAAAAAACCAAACTTTTTCATGTATGCCATAGAGTGATTCTTTGTAGGCACGACTCTTTACAAAATCGTTATCAATCAAAACATAATATTTTTCACCTTGTTTATTGAATGTACTATCAATTATTGTAACGTAAACGATGGAGGTTTCTTCGTCAACTTTTACATATTCATTCTTTTCATTTTTGTTGTTTATAGAAGTGGTTTGACGTAGACTACCATCGCTTTGAAAAATTGAAATGTTGCCAGTTGATAAATCCACATTATCATAATAGGTGATTATGAGGAACTTTGTTTCAGTTGCATTGATAATTTCACCTATTGCCGGATATGTGGCATTGATGTGTAAATTATTATATCCTTGATCTAAGAAAAAAAAGTATTGTAAAATTAAAAATGTTAAAAAAAAAAAAATGAATGAATGAAGAATTGGATTTACCTTTCTCTCCCGCAACTCTATATAAATCGATTGTAATTAAAGTCCAATTTTGTTCTATCTCTGGTTTAGGAAGTACAAGAGTATTGTTTGGTAAAACTATGAAATCACCTTTAAAATTTGTTTCGGTAGGGTTTGTAAGGTTCCAATCAAAATAAGTATCATTGTAACCTAAAACATATCCAGAGATATTAAGTTTACTAGTATCATTTGGGAATGCTTCTATCCCACTTAAGAAATAGCCTCCATAAGGTAACGCCAAAATATTATATTGATCTAATCCCGGAATTTTAAAGGTTTGAACATTATATACAGTTCCTGATGAAAGGAAATCAACTTTAACATAAAATTTATCAGTTAAAGTGAGATAACGTTTGACAGTTAATAAACAACTATGTCCAACTCCTATGTAAGCGAAACCGCAGTTGAGCGCAGTAAATTCTAATTCCGGTTCTGCCGTTTGATAAAGAACAACTGGTTCCCGTTCCGTTACTTTTTCATAATCCAAGAAAACTCCATAAATTCCTCCCAATGGACGAAGAGGATCCGAGGCTGTCGTTAAATTTGTAAAGTTAGCATAAATTACCGCATATCCTCCATCCATCGTTGCAACGGGTTCTATTATATGTTTCGATGTTGTAAGGTTCATGAACTGTTCTGTAAGCTTGTTCATTATCCCATTTTCATCTCTTTATAAAAAAAAATATATATATGTATTTTTTATATATATGAATATATTTTATATAATTTAAATCAATACATCAATTATAAATAATTAAAATTAAATTACATTATTAATTGTTGCAACGTAAACCCGGTAGTATTTGTTTTAGGCGCAACACGAAGAAATCCTTTGTTGCGATCAACATTATTTATAATAAAACCCGAATTAGGTACCCATATATTTTTAGGAGTAATATAAGAAGATCCCAGCGACATGTTACTAATACCCCAAAAAGACATTTAATTAATAACATTTTCAATTATATATCGATATATTTTTTGAAAAGAAAGTTTTCTAACCTGTAGATTTTTCCACCCAAGTCAATAATCATACCCCAATCTTCAAAAGTAAAAACATTATTTATATCTACAGGTTCCGTATAAGTTACCAACAAGAAATTATTTTTAACAGCATAAAGCGCAAGTGGATTAAGAACTTGATTGTCTATTATATTCATCCGCATACAGAAATTCAAAGGATTTATAGACAATTCATCCATTGAAATGTCAGTTGGTATAATGTTTCCATCGGGATAAATTGTTCTAAATGATAAATTTCTATCTAAACAAATCTCATCGTCTTCGGCAGGAGTTGAAGCATTTACGCGAATTATCTGAACAATTATCTTTCTATCATCAAAATATTGTAAACTATAAACGCGAGGTGACCTTGGGTTTTCCGTTTGTTTTTCTTCAAATATAATAATAGAATTTATTTGCGATAAAATTAAAATGACTATCAATAAAGTTGTTAAAAGATTATTTTTCATTTTGAGGAATTTTTTTTTTTATTTTTTTAAAAAAAAAAATGACAAGACATATATGTAAAGAAATTATCAATATTTAGGGTAATACAACTTTTTAAAAGTCACAAATTTGTAGAACTTATTTTTTAAATTATGGTATTAAAATGTTACGCCTTTACAATACATGTTGTAAAATGATAAAGGCTGAAACACTTGATTTGTTTTCGAATAAAGGAAACTTGTTCAAAGTTTTTGGAATATCGGGAAATATAAATTTGTTGAATAAGAATAATATTTATTTTAATTATTTTTATGCAATATTTTTTTCTTTTGTAAGGTCTTTATATGGATTGCCGTTATTAGGTGCGTTCGTGTTCTATTATGTTTCGAATTTACTCTCAATAATCAAAAAAGGAGGCTTTGACAAACGTTAAGAATAGGAATAATAGGAATGTTATAAATGAGAAACAAATCGGGAAAAATAAAAGTCTCAAATGAAAAAATGCTCTCTAAATATGAACAACAAAAATAAAAGTTATGGCGGCGATAATACAAGTTATTTGGATTACCGGAAATAGGTGTATTAGTTTCCGTTAATCTCTATTCTGATTCCACAATCAAAAAAAAGGAGACTTTGACGCGTTAAGAATAGGAATCTGTTCAATTTACGTATTTCATAAATGAGATGCAAAACGTGAGCCTCAATAAAAAATATGCAAGTTGAAAATCTTCAATCTTACATAACAATAATGCAACTTTGATCTTCGTGTTATCGAAGCAAATCTGGAAAGTTTAAAAGCTTCAGAACATGCACCCAATCCAATATAGACAACAATAATAAAAATTCGGATGATTATAACCGTCCCCTTATTGGGCCACTATTGAGGCTAGACATCCGTCATCAGAACCGACATCTCAATATTTATTGACTTAAATGAAATCCAAAATCGGAATTGATTTAATGATGTAACACAAAATTAATATTTCCCAAAAACAAAATCAAAAAAAAATTTTTTACGTTACAAATATGTTAAATCATTCTAAATTTATATTCATTGAAAATAAATCTTTTCGGCCGACGCTTATTGACAGATATTAAGCGGTCTTTGTAGAAAATGACTAAAATTTATTCTCAAGTTAAAGATGATCAGTCACAACATGAAAAATCAAGGTATTTTTTTAATTGAATGAAATATTCCAAAACATTTCGGTAAGAAACTGATTGTACATACATGCAGAAATCCTTTCCAGAGAATATAAAAAGGCGAACTCCCCACTCTTTCTTTTCTCACAAAATTTTTTAGTCTCTTAATAAAATAAATTTATTAACATGGCAAAGCTTAATTTTTTGGCTGTTTTTCTTCTAACCCTCATCACTAATTCCATTGCATTTCCAACTGATGAATTAGTTCATACACTCGATAAACGATCGAATAAATGTCCTTGCGCCTTCGCCGTCGCAGATTTTGATCCAAAGAATTCGAATGGTCCAGTTAAAGGTATTATAACCTTTGCTCAAGATGAATCTGGTGCGACTACTGTAGCGGGAATCTTCAGTAAAGGTTTCGAAGATACAAATGCGACTTACGAATATCAAATCAAGGATGATTGCGGCAATGTCCTCCATGATCTTACCAAAGAATTGAATGTACAATTATCCGGCGATGGCGGTACCGAATCTTTTAGACATAAGTTTGATAGCATCAACCTCAACTGTGACAACAAAGGAATTCTGAACGTGCAGACACTAGGAAAAGTACCATTATCTAAACGTAATTGCAAGTCACTTAGTAAACGTGATGACAAAGGAAATGTAGTCGTTAGTAAAAATGGTGAAGGTTATAGCAATGCGAAGCCAACATAAATATATAATACTTTCAGTTTTTTTAATTCGATCATGTATTTCACAATGTTGTTTAGGGAATTTTTATGAAAATGGTATAGAAGTTGAAAAAACTTAGAAAAAGCATTTTAAAGAGCTAATCAAAATAATGCTGTTGCACAATATAACTTAGGTAAATTCATAAAATTATTCTTTTCAGTTTAAAATAGATGAACAATTTTATTATTTTGTTATTGATATATTCTTATTTAATTTATTGTAAAATTATAAATAAATTAACTAATTTTTAAGCTATCATCGTAAAATTAATTTTTCTTATGGACTATATTAAAATAAGAAATTTCTGTTACATTTCAAATCTTGCAAATATTTTCTAAATCGTTGTCTCTTCATAATACAGTTTGCTTTTATTTATGTTTTCCTACTATTGTAAAAAATAATTATTAAAATTAATAGGGAGAATTTTAAAGATTTAGGATCTTTTAACGGGATAAATGCAAAAAAAAACGCTGAATATAAAAAAAAATTGATCGCCATAAAGCTTGTAATTTAAAAATATAACACCATGCGGGTGTACGGTTTCACTGCGTTATTTTTTTGCAGGAAAAAAAAAAAAATAAAATTTTAATAACAATGAGCATTAATGCACAGTATTGGTCAATTCGTGCAACAATATGCAAAACAATGGAACAATTAAGTAAAAACCAGCACCCAAAATAAGCATCGAGTTTAACTCATAAAATTAGCTTCCTCCTCTTTCCATTCCATTGTGAATATAGAAGATTTTGATTTTACTTCAGGTATTTTGCTCATTTATAAACAAACATATTTAGCTTCAAGTCTCCCAACACCACCATTCAGCAAATAATCATACTTTTACATTAAGTTGTAGTAAGATGATATTAATATGCAACTTACAACAGTCAAAAAATATATCATTTGCTAAAAACATTACATTGATGCAGCTATCATGAGACGTCAAGTTCAAATGCTTAATGATATTAATTTTGCTCTTGTTCTAGCACGAGATTAAAAATGTATGTTATACAAAGATCATTGATAAGCTTTCATAATTTTTCCGCGTTGATCCTTAATTGAGGATTTTTTTACGGGTTCTTCAAAGATATAATATGGCGCAGAAAATGTCGATCAAAAACAACGTGAAGTCAAATATTTTTTACTTAAATCGTGCTCGTGATATTGTAAATTACTTTTTTCACTTTCAACTTTCTATTTTTCTCAGAACCTTTGGCGATTTTCTGATGTCTTTCTTGTGTAATATTTTATTCTTTTATTACCTGGATAATTCTTCATATTTGGATGCACTTTTATATCATATCGGTTAAACACACCCTCTAATTTGTTGCTGGTTGTACAACAATTGACCAAATTCGATATTTAATAAAAGAGTAAACCATAGAAATTTTCCAATATTCATTAGAATTTGAATTTGAAAAATCTTCAATTCTTTGAAAAAGGTTGGTTCTTGGAGTGCTTCCATTAATCCAAAGGTATTTACAATAATATTTTGTAAATCAATTCAATATAAGAATTTTTACGCCATGAAAAATTAGAATACTTTTTGGGAAATATAAAAATGCATGTGCAAATATTTGCTTAAATGTAAATGAGTCTATAGTGATGATATTCATTTAATTAATATCTAATTGAAAAGCTTCATAAAATTCATCTGTATCTTCTAAATCTAAAAATGTATTACTTTCAATTAGTTCTTTTTGAAATATTTCATGTATATAATTTGCAACATATTTAAGTTCAGCTATTCAAATTATTATTTAATCAGATATTTCATGAATATGATTGCCAGGTAAAAGAGTTAAATACTATCTGAACTATAAACTGGTAATATTAAATTATAACTAATAAGAAATTCATAAATAGGTTCAAAAATTTTCTGTTTAAATTTAAAAATACATAATGAATCTAGCTCAAAAAAAATTATCAGAAAATTAGGATAGCTCTATTATTGATTTTTCAGATAAACTACTAAGGGTTTAAGTAAGTATATCTACTGAATAGTTACACATTTCTGATTAAAATGATGATTTTAATAATGATCCTAATAATATTTCTGATAATTCTATGATAAGAAAATATAAGAAGACTTAGATAATGATAGATATAATAATAGCTATAATAGCTATAATAAAGGCTATTATTATAAAAGTGAAAAATATAAAAAAAAGGTTTTACTAATGATGAATATGATTATCTTACCAGTATATATCTAAAGAAATCTCAGTATCTGAATTAGTGATACCTGTTTAAACTCTTTCTAAAAAATTGTAGTTTCATTAAAAGGATTTGTTTCTTTAATATTTTTATATAAATAAATATAAAATTATTATAATCAAAACTCATTATAGTAAACCCTTAGTTTCATTCAATTTATTCATTATAATGAAGTATTTACAATATTGAAAAATCTTTTTTATAGTGAATTTTATAAATAAAAAAATTTTTATAATATGATTTTTTAAAATTTTTTATTTCAAAAATTTAACATTGTATAATGTAGATTGTTTTGCATTGTCTTAAATATATTGTTATACAAGTCAATTATGAAGTTTACTGACTGAAAAATAGACTTCAATACGTATAACAAAGATAATGATAATAATAAACTAGTTGAATATATAATATTTACATTAGAAGAAATATTATGAAAATTTTAAATACAATATTATTTTAAAAATTAATTAGTAATCCAACTTTATTTAATTTAATAATTTGCTGATTTTATTGATTTTATATTAAAAAAATTATAAAAAGTAAAAATAAATAAATTAAATAATAAATTACAAAATATTATAAAAAAAATTACTAAAATTACATAAATTATCTATTTTTAATCTTAAAACAAAATATAAATCTTTGAAATAAACAGTTTAATTTTTCAAAATCTAAGTAGTTTAGTTTAATTTTGTAAGTATTATAATATAATTATCATATATAAATAATTACAATATCAATTATAAAATTTATATAATTTTTAATCATATAAAAGTATTCTTATGAGTTTTATAATAATATAATTTTCACTTAGTGAAATATATTACCTATATATTTATATAATATAATAGATTTCAATTTAATTAGATAATCACTCAAATGTATATTATCTATAAAATTTTTAACATCTGATTTTTGAATTTCTTCTGATCACTAGAAAATATTTCTGAGTTATTATTGAAAAAGTTTTGTTTTGTTTAATCAAAGTAATTTAAAAATTAATAAGATAATTCAAAAATTAGATAAGAGCTATTTAGTTATTCTGTATAAATCTTACTAAAATTGATTATATTAAGCTTAAAAAAATATATTTTTAAGCTAAATATTATGATTTTAAAAGTAAAGATAAAATCTAATACAAATATCAATAGTTGAAATCAAAAAAATCGACATTTGCCATTTATTGACAATATAAACTAAATTCAGAAATCATTAAAAATCAGCTATTATATTTATGACTAATTTATAGCTGATTGAAGTTGAACCAAAAATCAACTCTAATTAGTTCAATAGGACAATGCAAAATTGTCTGATTAGAAAAATTGTTTCAAAAATACAATAATAAATAATCATTCCAAATGAAATGATAAAATCATTATCTCAAAAGGATAATTCAACATCAGTAGGGCAAAAATGGGAGTTCTAGGACAAAATCGAAAATAGTACTCAGAAAAGATTCCTGACCGCCCACGAATCAATTTTAGCTATATGAATCAATTATCAAATTCAAACTTCTAGCGCATTTTGACTCAATTATAGATGATGTTATCGAACTTGACTAGGATTTAGCCTGTCTGATACCAGGAAGTATACTGTTTGATATAACCATTTTAGCTTGTTTTTAAACCCAAATAATATATCAAAAAAATTTTACTATTCTATTTGCCTCAGGAGGGCCCACCGAAAATCAAGGAACAAAGTGACGCGATTTGAGCTGGGTCTGACATTGCAAACCCAAATTTAATAATAACTTTTATGCTATTCTGCTTGCCTCTAGAGGGCCCACCGAAAATCAAGGAACAAAGTGACGCGATTTGAGCTGGGCCTGACCATGCAAGCCTAAAATGCATACCATATTTTTATGATATCCTAAAATTAATTCTAAAGTTGATTCATTATCAGCTAGCAAAGTGACGCGATTTGAGCTGGACCCGATCATGCAAGCCTAAAATGTATACCATATGCTAAGTCTAACCTCGAAGAGGTTCGATTTAGCTGTTATCTAGTTTGCAAATCAAAAGCTTAATGATTATGTTCTAGCACGTTAACAATTTATCAATATACAGGAAACCATTCTAAAGCTATTTCCTTTACACAAACCTAGGACAAAAAATTACACATTTTGACTACCTATATGATAAATCTAACCGCAAAAAAAAAGTCTAACCTCTAAAGTCTAACCCACCAAGTAATCTCTAAAGTCTAACCTCCCCTTTGGGGGTGAAAAAAAATATGTGAACATAGCGTGGTTGAGCGACAAGACGCTCAAGGGTCTAACCTCTTGAACACATATCAAACATCAGGGCCTTATCCCGAAGTCTATTAACATATTGAATCATATAATAACC